TTGGAAAAATGAGAGAATTCTTTAAGACACAAGTGGGTTTGTGATCTCATTAATGTGCATATTCCCTTGAGGGTGGATGCACATCATAATTCTTACATTCAGGCCCATTCTGTGGGACTCTTTCTCATATCCTTATGTAAATTCATTACCAGGCAGGATACCCAACATGTTAGGGAACTTCCTTAAATTCTCTTAACAATGTGAGAATACCATTAAGCCCACAGATTTTTCATTCATTATCCATGACTTCCACCTCATGACCAAACCATCTCCTTCTCTGATCTTTCATGTCTTTGCCAACCTCCTTTACACAGCTTCTACTTTGTAATTCCTTGTTAGTTACTTTGCTCTCTGCTTTTTTAAGAGAAGTATCTTTTGGGTTTTTCTCAACTTAACTTCTTTGGACATAGTAGTGTTCTATGTATTTAACCATAAAAGTAATAGCTAATATTTATATGGCTCCTTAAGTTTTGCAACACATTTCATATATATTAACTCATTTAACCCTCATGATAACCCCAGGAAGTAGGTTCTATTATTATGTCTATTTTAAATATGATGAAATTGAAGCTAAGTTGAGTGACTTGCCAAGGGCCAAATAACTAGTGGGTGTCTGAGGCAGAATTAAAACATTGTCCTTTCCATTAAGCATTGGTCTTTAATTCTATGGTCTTCCTCTTTTCCCTAACATAACTTAAAAGCAAACACTTGTATGTTGTAACTGACATTTATCACTGGCCTAAGCTCATTTTGAACTTAAATGCTCTTGACACTATTACACAGGAGTATACTCCTCTTTTGTATTTCCATTACCCATGCTTGATTTCACCTTTTATTTATTTTTTTTTAATTTAAATTGGTCCAGTGATTTGTCTGTGCATTGTTGTGATTCTCTTTAGACAGCTTCTTTTTTTCTTCCCAATTGTAATAGGTGACTTTGGTGCTATTAGAATGTTACTCTTGAGATTACTCCATTTCTCTGAGTGTAGAATTCTGTGCTATTGGATTGTACCTATCATTTTTCTAAACTTGTTGAAGTCCATTCTCCTGAAATCTTGGGTGCATGATGCAGCTATGTGGGCTCCCTCCTCTTTCTTTCTTATGAATTCTAAGTGTAGTGACCACGTTATTTAACATTTCCTTATGGAATTGCTGATTCTTCCAATGTCCCCAGATGGACATATGAAAAGAAAGCATAAAAAAGGACCACTTATGCCTCTTGGTCTGACCCTGAGGTTTCCAGTCCTTTTGTTAGTGCTATAGACTACTCTCTTTACGTACCATGAAATCAAATTGAATATATTTGGGGTTTGCAAGACTTGAGTTTAAGTGGAAGAAAACTGTAGTTTATGTATTATATTTCATCTAGTTGGTGCTTCTGGTTTTGCTATTCATTACTCATACATTATGTTCCCCCATCCACCCAGGAGCATTAGAAGAGTATAGAACATTGTGGAATGTTCAATTAAAAACTCAACAAATCTACAAGATTATAGAACACTAAAAGTATTAAAGGAGATACAAAGAGAAATGACTTGGTTCCTCATAGAATGATGGTTTAGTACTGAGATGTGGCATATAAACAAATAAGTATAGTACAAATTTATGAATGTTGTAATGAGGACATGTCCATCAAACAATATTTCCCATAACCTGAGCCCCAGATAGCATATCTCATTCAGAGAATTCCCTATAACTCCATTTTTGAGGGTATTGAATATGTATGTATAGAGTAGTTTTATTGTGCGGTAAGGATTCTGTATAGTGAGGAGCAGTAAGTTTTTTTGTTTTTTTAAGAGCATTATAGTACATTCAGGAGTCAGTGGTGACAGAGAAAAGCTTGGCTATACACACAGTAGGAAGAAGAAATTGCAGTATAATATGAGAGAGTCATGGTGTCCCTATGTTGACACTGGAGGCCAGCCAAGGCAAATGCCTCTATCTAGGAGGCTCCAGGAGATCATGCCAGTTATTAAGACTATGCTCAAAGGATAAATGGATTGATGGGATCATTCTCTTACTCAGTGTGGCCACACAGGATACATCATTTTGTCACTTTGCAAGAGTCCCTTTTTTGGGGGAGATACATACACTCTTAGGAGATTTTACTCCTTTGTTTCTATAGAGCTGTGTCTAGAAAACTGTTTGATTTTCCTTTGTTATTTACTTTGTTATTCTGTCTTAAATATTTTGCTACTAGATTTAGGTATCCTGCTTATTTTAAATAGTTTTCATTGGAATGGGAACTTAAATTATATTTGTACAAATGTTATTACCCAAAAGCTTAGGAAATTAAGGTTCTATAATTGAGTATCACACTGCTATACATGGTAAACATGTAAGAAAAGCCAATTAGTTAATAAAAATTTATTAAGTACCTATTATCTGCCAAATACTGTACTAAGTGTTAGATATGCAAGTGAAAGTACATATGAAGTCCAGAAGGATCATAAAAAGCTTTCTAGAAGGGACAGTATTTGAAAAGGCTTTTAGTGATAGGTAGGTATGTGAAATACTTAGTAGGCATTTGTGAATCAAGCAGCATGAAAATTGTTATCTTTTCATAAAAGACATTCATGTATGTGCCATACTAATGCTATGTCTTGATAGTTTAAGACTCCATATAACGTCTTTGAGGGTCAGGATGCTAAATGGCTATGTCTATTCCTTAGGACTGTGCCCCTTTTGACATTTCAGACAATGCCACTGACCCTTCTTTCATTTAAAGTTCAAAATATAACAAATGTTGTATTCTTTGTGTGAGCTTCTATTAGATTTATTAGTAATTTATTGTTGCTATATTAAATCCAGTGGGCATAAAAACTTGAGGCACAAAAATGGTGTATTGGATAAGTCTTCTAGGTCCTATATAGCCCTGCTTCATGACTAAATGGGTTAAACCTATAGATTGTTATTATATGGTCTCAATTATATGGTCTCAATTACTGATCCTTTAAAACCAAGGAGGGATTATATGTTTGTAAATGAGAATTTTCTAGTCAGATCTAGGAAATTCTTGGCTCTAATAGAAGGGGCAGCTATTCTTTTTTGGTTCCCCTGCCACCTACCCTATTCTTAAGATCATAACAGGACTGGGTCATTTTCATTCCACCCAGCAGATGTTTCTCCCAAGTAGCCAAAGTGGGCATCCATTGATTTTTTCAGTACATCCACCAGGTAGATGTGTGGACTACAGTCATGTGCAGCTTGGAATGATGATCTCCCTAGGACAGAATGCACATATTGCTTTTGGCAAAGTCTGATATTGACTAGTAGTGACTTCATCCCTACTGTGAATGTGCCATGTGGCATTAAAAAAACCAAAACTTTTATATTCTGCTTAGTTTTTCCATGTGCCCATTTGCCTTCAGGTAATAGACTGTCATGAGTAGGAGTTTGACACCTGACCTCTTTGGAAGACCTCTCCAAAACTGGGCAATAAATTGTAGCCCTTGACCCAAGATGATCTATGCCAGGAGCCCATGCAGCTGTAATTAATTCTTTTAGGAAATAAGAGGCCATCTGGGGAGCAGATGGTGAATTTACATAAGGGATGAGATGACACATTCTCAAAAAGTGATCGATGGTCACCAGATGGGAGAATATTAATTTCCCTGAAATGCTGGTAGGCTTGTCATAAATTGATTTCCATTAAACACAGATCTGACTGTATAACCCCCATCCCATTTCAAAAATCTTCAATGGCTCCCTATTTTCTCTAAGATAATTATAAACTCTTTAGTCTGGCATTTAGTTTTCTTCCCTCTACTATCCTTTGTCTGATATTTAATGACACATAGCTCTCACCTAACTCTGCATCTTTAATTAATGTTTACAAAATAGTTTAATCTGCCCAGTATGCTAGTAAACTAGGCAAGTTTACTTGGTCACTTGGCCCAAGTCTCAGAGAAAATTATTCCATCAGAGAGCCAAGTCATTCTAAATATAAATTCTATTTACCTTTACAGTTTTGTTTTATAATGACCTCCTTCATGCACTCTCTCTTCTAGTTAAGGTCCAGCTAGCTATTATTCCACATCCACACTATTCCATCTTATGCCTCCATTCTTTTGAACATATTGTACCCCATGGCTGAGGCTCATTTGCTCCTTGTCTCTCTAGTTTCATTTATTCATTTAAATCACAGAATATGTGGCCCCTCCTACCAAAGACCTTTCCTGACCCTCCTACTCCTTTTATTGGGATTCTTTCCCTCCTAAAATTTATTTGTAAATTCTTTGCCTTTATTCTATTGTATAAATTTTATAACTCCCTACCCACCAGTAGAATATAAACTACTAAAGGGCAAATACACTTTATTTTTGCCTTATCCTTAGTGACTAGTATGGTGGCCTTTAACATAATAGGCACTTTGAAAATGTTTTAAAAATTGAATGAAATCTATACTAACTTACTAACAGGGTCATGGATGGGACAATAGCTGTAGAATGTATTTCCATTTACTGGCATTGCTTGTACCCCAAGCACATGGCTGAATCTTAGCTCTTTAATCTGGAGATGAATCTAATCTGGAGTATGAACAATGTTGGCCGATGGCATTCTTTATCTTGATACCCTTTATATATCCTTCTAACAGGTTACTATGGTACACCCAAGAGACCTCCTTCTGGAGGATTTGTGGTGTCTTTAGTCAACCTTAGAAGAAATATAACTATTGCCTCTCATACTGCCCCATCAGAGCCACACATACTCTTATTTGAAATGAGTCCATTCTTTTCTTACCCTGTCTTCTCTGGCTCCATGTGCCCGGATCATGTATACATAGGCGTAAACCTGGTTGTTTTATACACACACACACACACACACACACACACACACACACACACATGTATATGTATACATGTGTATACATGTGTATACATGTATGTATATATGTATATATACAGACATGTGTGTATGTATATCACCTTGAAAAAGAATCAGGAGAACAAAAGTGCCAATCAAATAAAATTGTTTTTGATCCAATTTTCCTTTGACAGCATGTTGGGGACCTTCTACATATTGTCACCAGGTATTAGAGACTGTCTTGATCACTAGCAACTCCTGATCCAGGATGATATAGTTATACTCTTCCATTGTCAAATGGCTTCCTACACTATTGATTCCTACACACATGGTTCCTACACTATTGGTGAGTAAAGTCATTGGACCCAGGGATCCCTTTTTTCCCAATCTGATCTTCATGAGTCATGTTCTGATTATTATCTTGGAGCTGTTGGTTTCTATGAATAAGCAAATTGTATACAGTCATTTTGAGCAACTGTTTCTGTAGTTAGGAATGTTTCTCCTTATTTGACTTCCAAATGGTAAGTGCCCTGCTTCTTTAGGAGGTAAGTAAGGAGCTACATCCACTATGATCAGCTCAGAATGAAAGTAGGAATTGGCAATGTTTAGGAAGTGTGGGATCCAACCTTTTTTTTAGCCCATTAACAGGTTGGTTGACAACTGGAAGTTGTCAGGACTGCAAAATAACCATCACCTCAAACACTAATTTATCCTGTTGGAATGCATTTTAAAGTTTGTAGTATGAACTTTGGTGGAGGATTAAAGAGAACACTTCTTGTGCCTGAGTTACATGGTTTTATTCTTCATGAGAAAAGATAAGAATGTTGTCCAAATAGGCTATGAAAAATAGAACTAGTAGATCTGATAGAACTAATTATATGTCATATTCTCACCAGGGAGTTGGTCAACCCAAATAGAATCATAGGTGATAAAAAATGCCTTTATGCTGTGCAAGATTCTATCTCTAACTATCCTCTGGTCCTGATATAGACGATATTATAACCCATGCCTACCCAACACAAATTGGCATAAATAATAATAATCAGAAGAATTTTATAGAACTTTAAGATTTGCAAATCACTTTACATATATTATCTCATTTGATTTGATTCTCACAACAACTCTGTGAGATAAATGCTATTATTATCCCTATTTTACAGATGAAAAAATTGAAGCCAAGGTTAAATGACTTACCCAAGGGCACTCAGCTAGTAAGCATCTGAGGCAGATTCAAATTTAGGTCTCCCTAACTCAATAGTCAATACTCTGTTGCCCTTTTTTGTATCCCCAGGACTTAGCATAGTGCCTGCCACACAGTAGGTACTTAATAATATTGATTAATTGAGTGACTGATAATCTACTACTTCTTCTAGATATTAGCCCCCTTCACCCTTCCCAAAGGATCTAGAGTTAGGGGAAGTAAGTAACATTTGTGATTAATTATTATTAGCCACTTAGTTTCAGGGTGATATGGGCAAAGAACATGTAGAATATCAAGACCTACAGGAGGTTTTTTCCTTAGGCACTTATCAGTACAACTGTCTAATAGATTAGAATCTACCAATACCTTCACCATGCAGTGGATGAATTTTTACATTAAATAAATGGGGTTGTCAAATTTTACTTGAGTACATTTAGTTTAATTTATTGAAAGAATCCATCCAGCCTTTGGAGCCATTGGTCATTCTCCCTATACTTTAAGCCTAAAAATAAGAAGTTGTATCCCTGTACTGATTGCCAAGAGTCTGATAAAATTTCCATCCACAAATACTTGGGTTTTTCTTGCTGTGTGTCATATAAGATTCTCCTTCCCCTAAGATTCTTACAACTATGTCTCCACATTTTGGACAAACCACTTTCTCCAGGCTTCTAAGTAGGTAGCCCTGAGTTATTCCTGTTAGCTCCTTCAGCCCCTGATTTGGGCATACCCTGATGAAAGAGAATGGTCTTAGAAATGTCCACTAAAGAACAGAAGAAAGCTGAGCCTGGGTACTTTATTATTACTGTAACTTGGTCAATAAACATTTATTAAATGTTTACTATGTGCCAGGCACTATGCTAAGTGCTGGGAATATGAATACAAGCAAAAAAAAAAAGCAGTCCTTTCCCTCAAAAAACTTACATTCTAAGGCTGATGACAAGATATAAAGGAAGCTGAAAAGGTCGGAAAGGGGAGAAGTACAAAAGAGTAAATTCTGGTGGAAAATGATGAGATGGCTAGCCTGGGCACCTTCCTTAAATGGAAGTTCTAGGAAGGGGTCTCCACAGTCTAATCAAAGGAAGTGGCTCCAGGGGCAGAAGTAGTTTCAGAGCTGTGAGTTCTAGGGCTGAAGTCATCTTGCAAGATGAACTTTCTGGGCTATGATAAAGAAATCCAGAGGAGTGTAGTCTGGTGGGAAATGTACTTTGGACAATTACTCTTAGTTGTTCACATGATGGGACTCTTAGAAAACTTGCTAGCACTACTACGGATGTGCCAAAGGGAAACAGACCAGGCACATCCTGCTGGGTTTGTCTTCCCAATGACAGTGAAATAGACCACTCAGGAAATGAGAAGCACCTGAACATCCAGATTACCACAGTCATTCTTGCATTAGATTCAAAATTCTGTCTTGCTCTGTGATCTCTTCTGCATTTTCATTCTCTGGTGTCAAGACTTATATCAGTCATCCTAAGGATCAAACATTAGCCATGAGTATTTCTCCTTTTTGATGATCAGTTATTTTTAGCTCTGTCTGACTCTTTGTGACCCCATTTGTGGCTTTCTCAGCAAAGGTATTGTAGTGTTTTGCCATTTCCTTCCCCAGTTCATTTTACAGATAAGGAAACTCAGGCAAATAGGATTAAGTGACTTGTGCAAGGTCACACAGCTAGTAAGTGTCTGAGGCCACCTAGATACCTGTATTGCTCCTTACTGCTTAAATATACCGGTTAATTATAGGCCTCACCAAACCAGGAGCATTGCCATGATGATAACTACTTCTTTCAGATTCTGTTTCTCAGTTGTACTACCTTCCTTAGAAGTAATTTAACAAATCCTCATTAGACATCTATTATCTATGTCAGGCACTGGGGTAGGTGCTAGGAAAACAAAGTAAGAAATCCACCCCCGATCTCAAGAAACTTTTTTTGGAGGGGTGGAGTGGGGAAATTATTTACTAGAAAATTAAATGCGAAATATGTAAAAAGTAGTTTCCTAAGGGAGGACAATAACAATGGGGGCTGGGAGGGGGTGTGAGAGGCAATCAAGATGGACTTCTTGGAAGAAGTAAGCCCTTGAGTGGAACTTTAAGGTGGGAGTGAAGAGGGATTGCATTCCAGGCACTGAGCCTACAGAAAGGCATAGAACTGAAAGATGGAATGGTGTTTATGTGAAACAGCAAATAAGCCAATTTGGATGGAAATTAAAATGTGTCCCTGGGCTTACAATGACTAGATTATTATTTTAAAAAATGACTTAATTAGTAAAATTCATTAACACATTTCTGGGTTTATTTTCTCTTCAATTTTCTAACAGCACCTCTATGACATTGAGAATAAAATGTTATGAAGATGCCAAGGGGTTAGAATGATACTCCAGAAATCTAGATTAAACGTTACTCTTCACATTAGAAAAAGACCCAAAAACCAAAAAACAAAAATAGAAGTATTACGTCCAGTATAAAAGGAGTGCTGGGGGTCAGAGAACATTTTGATGATTGTGTCCAAGAACCTGAAAGGATATTGACAAGCTGGAACATATTCATGAGAAGATGACCAGGATGGTAAGGGGACTGGAAACTTCCCATAGGAGGAGTCCAAGAGCCTATTCTCTCAAGAGTAACAGATTATTTAACCAGTTTGGCCTAATCACTTTCAGGCCTCACCCATGGATTTTGTCATTGTTGGCAGGTTATGGTGCTTGGATTATTGTAATAGCCCCAGGGAATATTCTAGATTTACCGAACTGTAAGTAACGCCCCCTTCCCCTCCTCAACACACACACACACACACACACACACACACACACACACACACTGAAGTATTTTAGGGACAAAGGTTAGCTTACAGATGCTTAGGTATTTTCCAACTCCATTAAATGAAATCATCCCTCTAGGACAGAGGTTATTGAGCATGAACTTGGTTTAAAATTAATAACTGTATTTGATAGTTATTAATAACTATATTTTGTAGTTCTATTTTTGCTTTTATGCATTTAAAACCATTATTCTGAGAAAGGGTCCATAAGTTTCACCAGTCTGCCAAAGGAGTCCATAGCAAACAAAAAAGCTTAAGATATCCTTCTTTAATAATAGTCTAGAAAAATACTGCAGGCCAAAGAGTTTCTGCCTTCGAAATGTAGCAAGGGTTATAGCATTTAAATGGTTATTTCTAGCTCTATATGAGACACCATCAGACTTGTCCAGACCATGCTAGGGCTAAACAGAACAGCCAGCTTAATAACTATAAGCAATTGAAAATAAATACTAGGTGATAGATAATCAAACAATTAATCAATGTGTATTTATGAACTAGTTTTTAAATAAGAATTGCTGTTTGTGGGGGGACATGAAGTATAAGTCATTTCTTCTGCACTCTAAGATTTTAAAATCTAGTTATAAGTAAAATCTGACACTATTGTTCAGTATTATATGTATCAATAGAGCAACTAGGAGGCATAGTGGATAGAGTGCTGGACCTAGAGTCAGGAAAACTCATCTTTGTGAGTTCAAATCCAGCCTGACACTAGCTGTGTGACTTTGGGAAAGTCACTTAATCCTGTTTGCCTTGGTTTCCTCATTTGCAAAATGAACTGGAGAAGGAAATGGCAAACCACTCCATTGTCTCTACCAAGAAAATCCCAAAAGGTGTCACAAAGAATTGGGTGTGATGATTAAACAACAACAAATATGCACTAACCCAGCTTCTGTATTTTTTTTATTGGTTGTTGCAGAATGAATGATTAACTTGTAGAATCATAGAAGTTAAGGTTTAGAAGGGGTATGAGTCACAGTCTAGCCCCACCTATACCTGGAAGATAACCCTATTAAGCGGTTATTTACAATTTTACTTAAAGACCTCCGATGGTGGGGTACTCACTATCTTCCAAGGAAGTCCATTCTAATTGATAATTCATGTTAGGATTTTTTTTATGACATAAAGCCCAAACCTATCTACTTGTAACTTTCACTCATTTCTCCTGGTTCTATTCTCTGGAACCAAACAGCACAAGTGTCCTCTCTCCTTCATATGATAACCTTCACATACTTGAAGACAGCTATCAGGTCCCCCTTCACTTTTCTCTTCTCCAAGGCCGAAATTCCCAATCTTTTCAAGAAAACCTTATTTGACATAGGTTTG